AAATGTTTTCACTCACAGCACTGTAAAGAGACGCGTTCGTCCACTGGCAGATGTTACCTGCTGCAGGTAGAGAAACAGCGAGCTTAAGATGTCCTCAAAGACGAGCTTAAGGGTATTTTACGACACACGAAGATAATCACACAAATCTGGAGGATCTGCTCGTTCTGTTTCTAAAGTCCTGCATCAATCTTTGGCTGACAAACAGATCCTCTACACCTGGTGCCGCTTACAGGATCAATATGTAGAACATCGTCTCTAGTCCTGCTCTTCAGCAGAGGTCATTCATTGTTTTAACAGGTTTTTTTTTAAAGAAGAACCACAAATCCTTAAAGAATGAATTATTCAATGTTGGTAAAGTAATTTTATCCACAAGGTTTCTACACTGTGTGGGCAAAGGTGTACCTCCATTCACATGCATTGTTTGGTCTGGGCCCTTTAATTAAGGGAGATCTTCATGCTGTATCATACAGGGATATTTTAGACTCACAACATTTGGTGAATCTTTTCTTCATGTTTTAACACGACAAAGCATAAAGAAATTGCTTTCCTAGTTTGGTGTGGAAGAACTTGACTGGCCTGTACAGAGCTCAGAACCCCATCTAACACCTATGGGATTAACTGAAACGCTGACTACGAGCCAAGACTTATCGTCCAACATCAGTGGCCAAACTCACAAATGTTCTTGAGGCTGAAGGGAAACCAAGGCTGCAGCCAGGTTTAGAAATCTGGTGGAAAGTTTGAAACCAGAAGAAAGGAGGCTGTTATTGCAGTAGATTGATGTTGATGGTGTTGGAATGTGATGTTCAGTAATCACATATGGCTGTAAAGTCTGAGGGTCCACATAGTTTCGGCAAGTAATTAACGTAGAGAAAGACAAACAATCAAAACGTACACACTACGCAATCATGAAAAAAGTACAATACTTTGACTGATTTTAAAGGTTGAGACAATGTGCTAAATCCTAAAATGTTCTCCAACCTCACTGTTAACCCTGAATTAATCAACATTTCTATTAACATTCAATCAAATTAGAAATGTGTTGCTCATAGCGACAAACTGAATGCTGACAAGTGTAAAGAGATAAGGCTATTGTCAATAAGATAGCTTTAACATTTAGAAAATTGTTAGAAAACAAACTTCATCCACATTTAACTTCAATATGAAAAATGACCCTGGTTGTGTTCACGTGCTCCAGTTTTAAATGCACACCACTGGGTAAAGGCATGTTCCTTTTTTAATCCAAGAGAAGTTTTTTGAGTTTCAAGCATCAATAGTGAGCAGGGTGGAAATTTTGAGACTACTGATTATTGACTAATAACTATCAAGGAGTCTTCTTTAAAATCTTTAAAATTCAATTTCTAAGATGTTGTTTTCTTATGCAAAATACACCAAATTCATGTAGTGGAGTGTAATGGGATGTGGATGATGCAGAAACATATTTTATAACTTTAATGACGCTTTCATTTAAACTTAAAAATTGCCCAAATTAACCATTGTCTAACTTTAACCATCATCTTATCTCTTCATTATGTTGCTGTGACATGGATTTTATTTGTAGTAGTGTCTCTCGTTCTTAACTCTGTCACATAATCTGGTCTTGCACCATAAAATCAAAGAGGGTTAAAATAAAGTGTCCTTGTTCCGAATGTAGCAGCAGTTTGTCTCAGCTGTGTTGAAACTCCCTCCTATCTGCAAAGACCCTAAAATAGCCTTGCAGCTCTGTGTCCCAGCCGGCATCAGGCCTCATGATAGTGTCAGATCAGCCTAAGGAATGCAGCGACAAGCTCTCAGACTCAGATTGGATGCTTATCACAGCAATGTGAGCTCTGATTGGATGCTTATCATAACTATATCCTGTTGTTGGCTGATGGAATGACCTTTACACTATCAGCACGGGATGCCACCGCAGGGCGAGGCGGCAGCGACTGGACTTTCCCTGATACTTTTTTCACACCTTTAGGCTTCTTCTCCAGCTTCAGACTACTTTATATATTATATACGTGGGTGTAGGAATAAGCATAACGTGTAACTTCTGTTTAATTTAAAATTACAAAACCTGTGATCCACAATTATAAACTGATATAAGTTGAAGTTATAAAACTCAACTTGAGAAAACTGCATGAATAATGGTTGATGCCAATAATTCATTAAAGTACGTTTACTAGTGGCCATTGGAGGAACTGCACTAGCACTAGCACTAGCTTCATTCAGCTAAAGTTAAAAGACCAGTATGTAGGATTTAGTGGCATGTAGCGGTGAAGATGACTGCAACCATTTAAGCTCAGCCTTTAAGCATGTCGGAGAAACTATGGTAGCCGCAAAACTCCAGTGATTGGACATGGAGGCCTCCGTGGAAGAGGACCCGCACTCTTGGTAGATAAAAACAACTCATTCTAAGGTAATTAAATACAACAATTCTTTATTTTCAGGTGATTATACACTAATGAAAACATACCTATTAATATTATATTCCAATTATGCCAAGATATCCTCCTAAATGTTCCACACTAGTATCCAGAAACCTTGTTTTCCATTAACCAATGACCGATATAAGGATATGTGAATGGAGGTGTATGTGGCACTCTTTTCTTTCATTGCTCCTGCCAACTACGTTCTGTTTATTCCTAAAATGCTTTTGCTGCTGCCAGACTTGTAAAGGAGGATTTTTCCAAAGAAGTTTGTAGTGTTGAAAGAAGCATCTTAACTGAATGGTTTACTCTGATAATGTTACATAAATTGTCATTGATTCCTTTGTTGAAATATGTAAAGATAATGATTACCACTTTAAATTGCACCTAAGACCTAAGAGACGACTGGAGAACTGTAGGGTGTATTTCTAAGGCCGGGACATAAATCTGACCATGAGTGCTTTGTGGCTACCCAGGTCAGTCCTCCTGTGGGAAAAGGGAGATGAGAGGCTCAGGGTCAATCTGGGCTAAGCCCTGCTGGTGCCAGTGGACCCCCCGGTTCCCCTGACAGACCCTGCGACAGTGTTGACATCAGACCCAGGTCAAATACTCTCTAGGTGTTTGTTTCAGCCTGACATCAGGTAAGTTGTCAAATCATGCAAACACTTATCAAATTGTCTTTCAAACAATTCATTTTGTTTCTGTGAGGAAAACCAAAACCACGTAGAGCCCCACTGAAGGCTGCAATAGATAATTTTATTTTCAGAAGAAAAGTATCTAAAAGTTTATCCAGAAGTTTAAAAAGAAAATATGAAGTAGATCAAAGTTGTTTTTTTCCAGGGTGGGATCTTTCAAGTAATTGCATTAAAACCTCTCCTTCGTTCTTTACCAAAAGTAAGAAAAGGATTCCAACAATGGAGCAAATGTATACACAACAATACACAAACTGGCACAAAATAACTTAATTTCTACAGAAGTGACTACATTTGGTTTCTTACTGTAGCATCAGAATGCAAACATTTGTTATTAGACTTATTTAGATGTATATATGATCATTTGAACTGACTAGCATTTCAGAACAGTTTTTTATAACCAAAATCATACTCTAAAAGTTGATTTGAGTCTAGTGTATATCAAAGCTCACATCAAAATCTATCATCTTAATTTTATTGAAACAAAAATGTTTAATTCACACACACCAACGTAGTCTGTACGTAGTCTTCATCACCCAGATCAATATCAGTCTTATCTTTCATAACAAACTAACTAATGAAGTAAAATGTCTTGTTTGATATATAGTGCTGTCTTCTAATCTCATGTGGCATTGGCCAATTGTTTGGAATAACTTGCACACAAACTCAATTTGCAGAAATGTAAAGGTCCAGTGTGTAACATTTAGGAGGGTCTATTGGCAGAAATTGAATAAAATATTCATAGGTATGTTTTCATTTGCGTATAATCAGCGTAATATAAGAATCGTTACGCTCTTCTTACCTTAGAATGAGCCGTTTATATCTACAGACCCCGCAGGTTGCCTTCCATGGAGTCCGCCATGTTGAACCACCATGTTTCTACTGCAGCCCAGAAGGGACATTTCGTGGTTTGTCGCTTAGAAGGGGAGGATGAAGCGACCGAGTTGCGATGTGCAACTACACCGCTTGCTGCCGCTAAATCCTATACACTGCACCGTTCATTTACTTTATGTCAAATTATTTATGTTTACTTTGTTTCAGACCTCAGACCGCTTCATGTGACCACCACCTGACTTTGTGCTCATCTCATGAAATTTTGAAAGACCTGTTGCAAGACAGAGTCAACCCGAACAAAGCTAATAACAGAACTTAACTTAACAGAGCTGAGTCTAGTAAAACTGAGTGCAGGGTTTGGGAGCTCGCCTCAGGCGCGATGCAGCCTCTCTCTGCACCATTTTCCCATTCCCCGGCTTTTCCATGTCTACTTCGCTCTGCAGCCTCGTTCCTGAGGAAAAACAGACACCTCTTCTGCTGCCGCCCTCCCCCTCCCCGTCCTCTGCCGGCTTTCTTCTCTTTCCCCCCTTTGCCCCTTGGGCTTTTTTTTATGGCAGGGCTTCTAACACATGACCTCTGCCATGCATTAGACTGCATGTACACGTCCATACACAACAAAATAAAACAAGAACAGTATGTGATAAAGTATGAGAATGGGATTTTGAATGTAGGCATTGTTACTCATATCTTCTGTGGGGTGACTCCAGCTCCCCAAATCCTCATCGCTGCCAGTTTTCAGCAGCAATAACAGCATTGTGATTTATCCCCTTCAGAACACATTTGTACTGTAATCCAATCAAACAGCAGCCTCAGAGAGTAAGAAATCATCTTTGCCTTGTGGAGATTTTCATTTGGCCCTTTTCTTATTCCGCCCGTGCTGCCTTGTCTGGATGGGCGCTTCTGTGAATCGTCCGGCTCGCCGCTGCGTTACGCAGAGTGACAAGCTGTAATTTGGTGTACACATTTACCTCATTTGCATGAGAAGCATTTGTGCTGCCTGCCACCGAGCTGAACGAATTACACCGGCGGTTATTCTCAATCTAAATAACGGAGGCCAAATTATGAGCGATGCTGGGAAGTGAGGGAGTTGCTCATTACAACAGAGCAGCTTTTTGTTAAGTTACGGCCTCCTGTGTCTCCTTGTCCATGACTTGCAGGTGAGTGACGTCAGTGTTTTGTTCCTGCTGCCATTTTGACTGCTACACAGTCTCATCATAATAACCACTGAGCAGATGTCAAGCAGCTTTGAACGGGCAAACAAAAGAAAAATTGAAGCCTTGACAGGAGATGATGCCTCGCTTTGACCTCAAATATAATCTGCAGAAAATCTCCTCGATCCGTCGCTTCATGAAAGAATTGTTGATATTGTTAAAACCCAAAAAATGGAGAAGAATCTTGTTGCACACCAAAATCTCAGCTCTGGGTCACCTTATGATGATACATTTAAATACATTTTCATTTAAAAAACATGTTTTTTGTTTGTTTTGGTCAAATGTTATTGTTTTACTGGTACCCAACCTGCTGTACTAAGAACTCTTTCAAACCTATAAAATGATTGACTCAATTTGATGTTTCACTTCAGGATGGGTCATATCAAGTCAGTTTTATTTATATAGCCCAAAATAACATGTCACAACTTTGCCTCAAATAGCGTTACAATCTGTACAACCTACGAAACTCTTTATCTTCAAACCCTCAGTTTGGATAAGAAAACAGGCCACAAAAAAAAATCCTTAAATGGGAAACATCATTGGATAAAATCTTAGGAAGAGGAGTATAACTCCAATAAATTGGGATAATAAAATTAAACTTAAGTAATAGATTAGCAAAGGTTCAAATTAATTAGAAATAGACACCTATGAAAGAACACAAGGACACGCTTGAGCATTATACCACATGCAAAAAGCATAATGTAGATTTGTCAGTGATGGCTGTGGGTGTTGAAATATTATTTAATCATCATTAATGCTTGTATTTTTTAAAAGCAAAACAGGTTGGAAAAAGCGATACCACCTTTGATTCAGTTGTTTTCAGAATATTCAGTGGATTCAGGTTGTATAATGAATATAAAGGAACAGAAACAGAGGAGGGATCCCACTTCCAGGACAAACAGACATGCAATAGATAATATAATAAGTTTCCAAAAGTAAGAAAATGACAAGTTTATAAATTGTTGCGAATATACTTCCTTTCCTAATCTTGTACAGTCTCACGTCCTTTTAGTCAGGACAGAATGTTGTTAAAAGAAAGAAAGAAAGTTTTGAAAAACGGAAACAACTTTTTGCCTGATACAAACAACCTCTCCAAAACATAATTTTATTGTTTTAAATTCTAACAATGGCCCGCTGTGTCTCCGGCCCTTTTCTAACCAAATTTTGCACTTGAATTTCTCCAGACCTCCATGAGCCTGACAAGACAGAGGACTGCACGCAAGATTACATCAAATCCTTCCTCCGTCCTGACATGATGATTGCAACCAACGACAAAACATATGACAGGTAGTTTATTTGGCACTCGGTTAGTATGTTTCTTGTGTGTTTTGCAGGAAGCGGCAGTGGTGGGCACCTCCCGCCACTAACTGAATGTTGAGTCAAGCTGGGAGTCAGTTATGGTGGCATCGAGACAACAGGGTACAGCAACAGGATCCTACTAATGAGACGTTTTATCATCCTGAAGTATAGTTTACGTCTATAACGAGTGAAAACGTGAGACCAAACACATCCGTCAGACTGCACTCAACTAACATATATTAGTAGCGTTTCTGTATTCTATGTTGCCTTAAAAAGAAACATAAAATATATAATTCACAGTTGTTTTTGGATAGACGCCCTTCAAACCGTGGGACCTCCCATGTCAGTGTACAGACTTGCATATAGATCTTGGATAATATTGTCTGCCAGAGGGAAACACACGAAACACAGCAATATGATAAATGCTCAAGTCTTGACATTTCTGAACCTCAAACATGCATGTGCCTGGTACACTTTAAAATCCAAATTCAACTTTGCCCCTGTCAGTTTGTCTAGTTTACCTCTTTTTTTTTACTCATTCCTTGCTTGAGTCAGCTTCTCTCTCCCTCTCTCTTACTGTGACAAGAAAGGGGAGTTTACATTCCACAATTACACATGTTTGTATCTTCATATCTTAAAATTTGAGTGTAGGGAAAACAAAAGTGTATTCTCCAACAGAAATATCTATCTGGCAGTGTAGAGAAGATCACACCATAATTCAGGAAGATCAGATCAGAGATAAAATATATAAAATCAAATTTGTTTATTTTTTCCAAAACAGTTTGGTTGGTGGTTAGTTATTAATTTCATAGGTAGGTTGGGCTGTCCTGTTGGTGATTTGGGTTGCAGCAGATGAATCACACACATACACACACACACACACACAGACACGTACGTATTAAACAATGCTTTAAAAAAAGAGTCAAATGTGAACCAAACCCTTGAACTCTTTGGGCTTTATTGTTTTTATTGCTAGTTGCAATATTCACCATATAATCTCTATATTAAGGGTCCAGTGTGTGGCGTCTATAGGGGTGGCTGCAGATTGCAACTCACTCGCTTCACCCTCCCTTTCGAAGCACGAGAAAGAAACTACAGTGGCCACGAAACATGCATAAAACGCAATCTGCACTATCTACAGTCGGTGTTTGGATTGTCCATTCTGGGGTACTGTAGAAAAATGGCAGCTTAACATGGTGGCCTCCATTGAAGGCTACCCACAGCATCTGATAAAAAACATCTAATTCTAAGGTAATGAAAACCTAACAATTCTTATATACAGGTGATTATACAATGATGAAAAACATACCTATGAAAATCATAGTCATGTACAACGTAGGGTTGTACAAGGAAATTCAGGACTTTATAATCCTATCGTAGGGATGTTTGAGGGAGCTACTGGCCACCACATCCACTTGCACTGCCTTTGGTAGGACTATTCAGATTTTTCATTCATATAGTGACAAATCTATCAAAGTTGTGGATGTTGTAGAACTAAAAGGATACTTGTCTTTCCCCCTGTGACTCTGACTGGAAAGGTGGTCCTCTCAATCTCCTACAGAACAAATATCCCAACGTCCAAGTCATCTTTAAGGTTTTTTTCAACTTACCAAAAGGATTCTGCATGAGTTTTGATGTTTAATCAGTTAAAAGGAGAAAACGATTAAAGGCAGGTTTTTACTCCTTAAATGTAGAAGAAGCCCGAAGACGAAGTCCAAAGTTTGCATTGGGTTGTTTGGTTTAGGATTAAGGTTAAGTCACTGTTTCTTAAACATTCTTGTGCAGACATAACTCTGATCTGTGCACGACGTCTGCTCGAGTATTTCTTTTCTGTCTGTCAGACACAGAGTTTTACCTCCATACAAATTATTCCTTAAGTCTCTAAATTTCAAAACAATCTCGATGCCAGTTCTGTGTTTTTAAGTCATGTCTAATGAGGGGAAATTAAGGAGAGGCAGATTGAGTCTCTTCCCCATGCAGAGTTTGTATTCTTCTTCAGACCTGTGATGAATCTATACCACCTTTGGTTTCGCCCCTAAGCGCTTTTAAATGCGATTAACTGTGATTTCAGAATGCTGATGGATGTGAAAGCGGTAAGCTGCGCTGCTGCCTCGCATCATGCCGTCAATATTTCTCCTCATGCATTCACAAAGGTTGCTATGACTTATTTCACTCTGGATTATGAATTGTTCTCCCAGCTAACAGGTAGTGCTTTTACTGGCAAAGATTTAATATAGGGACCCCTTCTCTGGTCTCTTCTTCAACACTTACGTGGGTGTGTGTGTGTGTGCAGACGTGAAAGTGAGTGTATGTTCCCTGCGTGTGAAAGTGTCTCCTCCCTAAGCCTCCTCGTGAGAGTCGTACATTATATATCGTTTATTTGTGAGGAGGATTACAGCATTTTGGGGCCTATAATCCATTCTCAGCTTTAAACACACACCCCCTCCTCCTCCTCAAATCTACGGCCTGTCGCCAGGGCCCGAACTCTGAACCTGTGGGCTTCTCCTCACTTGTGAGAACTAACCAACAATCCACCCCCCCCCCAAAACAACTCGACCGCCCCCACTAGGCTGCGGTGGAGATGGGGCGCGTTGTTTTACGGTGCGATCTGTCTTGTATGTCTCAGGCCAAATCCTATTTTTACGGCTTGCTTATACATTCCTCCTGCAAATGGTTTACATACCGAGGCAGGGAGCCGTCCTAAATCAGCTGGCAGCTCCGTGCAGCTGGGACAAGGTGGAAACCTTGTCATCAGCCTGCTTCACCGGCGATTAATGAACCCCAAATTAAGATAATAACATCTTGGTCTGACCCGGACCAGCGGATTACATCACTTCCACGGAAATTCAATTTTGACTCTTGTCGCTCTCAGTCAACCGCTGGGACCGGCAGTATTTACCCACCTTGTTTTTTCTCTCTCTGACTTATTTTGAGAGGGGGCCGGTGCCCATTCATGAAATTGGTGGCGTGTTTTCTCATTCTCGTAGGGTCCTTCAGTGCTGTTCAAACACTGCTGAGTGAAGCTGGAGAGGTTGTATAATGAGCAGAGGAGTTAGAGGGTGATGACTCTGCCATTCAGAGCCCAAGCACAATCTGCACTAGTGTTTCAGGCAAATGCCCTCGAGTGCAGCCACACAAATCCTCTGTTACCTACTCTGTTTTAAAACCTTGTTTCATTCATGTTAGCAGCTCATAAATGGCCGCCCACCGCCTCAGCAAAAACAAGCTGAGGCCCTTCAGTTCCATGAGATGCAATCTGTTGCGGGGCCCTAATCACCCCTCTGGATTTTTTTAATACTGGCGGCTTTTTTGATAGGAGGTGATACTGCGGGCAGAGATTTGTTCATTTAACATTGCAACTTGAGGATAAAACAGCTGGATGTTACTGTCAGTGCAACATGAGTAACTAAATACTAAATGTATAAACTGAGATTAGGTGGTATGTTTCCCTTTTATCATAACCTTGACAGCACATTTCTTGTAAATATAAATGGATCAGCAGTGAAAAGGGGTCTACTGGCCACAGGCCCAGGAGCCAAAGTGAGTCAGGGTGCCCTAAATCCAGAGTCTCAGTGTGAAGTGACTGTTAACATTATTGGTTGCAAAATGAAAGGTCTGAGATAACTACTGCTATGATTCGGTGCTATGTAAACAAAATGTAATTGTATAAAAGAGCAGCAAAAATAAAGACAGAGGCAAAAATATTAATGAAGATGTCATCATATCATGTCATCAAGTGTCATCAGTACGGCTTCACAGCTCAGTCCGACTTGAGCCCTGTGTGAAAAAACACAGCCCTCTTATTCATTTGAATGGGTCCAGTCTGTTGATGCTGCTGGGGCTGCAAATTCAAAGCCCTCGAGCAAAGAAATTTAACCTGGCTTGATTTTTGCTGCAAGACAACGTCATCCACCGAGGAGCGATGTTGGCCAGCAACATGTTAGACTGAGTTACGTATTTCTGCTGTTTACCCTTTGCTTGAATCTCAACGCAGGCACTCTGCTTGACACAATTTTCTTTTTTTCCGGCCTAAAATTCTCTGACGGAAAAAAGAAACTTCTATTAAATTTCATTTATATAGCGCCAAATCAGCAGGGTAGACTGCACTCCTTATCTAATTATTTGCATACCCAAAAATTCCCACCATGAGCAACTCAGCAACAGTGGCAACCCAGCTCAATCCCAGCAAGTAGACATAGACTTTTGGGCACAAAAGGTGCTCAGAGCATTGACATTCAGTGTGCTATGCTGTTCGGCAAGCTAACAACAATTACCAGCATTTTGCTTGTGAACTAAGGAGACAAATAAAGAACAAATTGTAGACAGATGCATAAGTTGGACCACAATGCACAGCTGTCAGAAAACGAGACAGATAACTAACTTCTCGTGAGGAATGGTAAATTTAACATGTGAATCGTTGGTTTCTGAAGTTTACCAACTGACACATAGCGTTTTAGGTACTTTGATGCAGAGGAACAGAGAATTGTTAACAAACTGTATTACTTCAATTGGTAACACACAAATTAAGTTTTTTCAAATCAATTGCAAAGAAATTGTGTCAATCCACCTGGTTAACTAAAAAATATAATTATAAAACAAATTTTGCAAGTTTGTAAAGAAAGGTACAAATGTAATGTAATTTCATAATTTTCCCACCGACTGCAAAGATTAAAACTGCATATCCATTCCATTCACATAACAGAATCAGGCAGCTGTAGATCATATTGCACTGTTTATATTGCTGTTAAAGTATTACTCAGTTTTTTCATCCTCCCCCTCACTCCCGATACTCCCTTCTGCAGCGGTTCCTTCAATGACGTAAATAGTCAAATTTTACATTTTGTGCCTCAGTTTTTTTTTCCTCCCCTCCTCTTTCTCTTCTGCATCCTCTCCTTGCTTCCAGAGGAATTGCTTTTTCTTGCATGTAGGAGAAAAAAAAAAAACTTCTTAAAAGTCTTATGAGTGAAAAGGATGTTACCTCATTAAAG